CCCGCATTGCCTCCATCGAGTCGACAGGCTTCAGTTGATCCGGTTCGTTCGGACGTCACAACTTAATGAATGCAAAAACTTTTCTATAGCTGACTTTCAACTTTCCATTTTACAATAGGTCTTATTACCACCGTTTACCATTTTTCAAGGACGTATCAATGTAGGAGGAGGTCTCGTACGAGCAAGCTGAAGGACCAAGCTGTTTCCTATTTCTCAGATTTGTATTAGAGAATGAAAGTCCATTTCCATTCAGATCCAAACCTAGGCTTAGTATTAATTGGCAAATACGTAACCAGTGTATAGGATGATCACAATAATAACTCGCCCTCGCCGGGTGTTACTTCGGCATATACCAGTTCTCTCGTTACGTTGGAATTGGAAATTTCTCCGGGGCCTAGAAGTGGAAAAGGATTTAGCTCTTGATTCTCTTAAATCGATTCATTTCTTTATCTTTCTCTCTTCCCTTCCCTTTTCTCTGTGCTTTCGGCGGGATAGAAGGAAAGACTAACGCATAATTCTGGCGGACACGTTCGCTGGCACTGTTTCTATCTGTCTCTACGGGTAAGTGAGAAAACGGCCGTTAGTTGCGAGGCTTCCGTACATTGGAGAGGGATCATACTACCAGGCTGCTGATCAGATTTTCCCCCCTCTCTTCGTTGAGGCTGACGCAGGCGCCAATAGAGGCAAGATTGGCGCGAGAAGGCATCCGTCGCCGCTGAATGAAGCTGATAGGGAAGTGCCGGAAGACCGTAGTATTTTAATAGTAATTAACTACGAAGGGTGCAACGTATGCGCGGGACGCCTTAGACGTCAACACGACGGAGCAATAATGAGTGTACTACTGCCATATAATATAATATGCTGGTGATGCGCGTTGACAGCACCATCCTGGCCCAGGACCGGACCAATGTTTGTTGGGTACTACGTTCCTCGCCCAGAATGGGCCTTACTTTATGCGGATTGTTTAGCGGAGGCAGCGGACACAAGATAATGCAGAGGAAGCTTTTAACTCACATAAAGAAGCTAGCATAAATATAACGTGCAATATCGCTTTTTCTTGGAAGCTTCACAAAATTATATGAGTCGCGTAAATTTCGAATTAACTGATTATTTGAAATCTTCTTCTACTAGCAAAACCGCCACCAAACAGTGGGCTTAAAACAGAATGTTTACGCAGGTCGGCTGGCTTCTGTGTTTCTTATCTGTGGAGGGTTCCCTTTTGACTTTTCCTCTTCCCATATATCTAGTGGAATACAAGTGCGTCTTGATATTTGGCCAAGTGAGGTATAAACAATCCAACAAGACAGCAGTGCACACCTTCTCGTGATATTATACGCACGTCAAGAATGGTATTATCTCCTACATCTGACCAGTGAATTAACTGCCCTTTATTTCCATGATCCGACTTAGGAAGTCATTATTTTACCGTTCAGGCAGATCCCGAAGGTGAAATACGCCGTACAGTAACCGCAGTGACCTCTAGATTTCAACTTGTTTACGTCCGACATTGCCATTAAGAATTCCATCAGACGGCTGGCCACCAGCACGAAACAAACGGCGTGTCCGTGTGACCTGAATTCGAACCTTTTAGCATGCAAATACATAGCCTATTAAGCTGTTACGACACAAGCACAGTAACTTGCTTGTTTCAAGCTGGCCAGAGTAACGAAAAACTGGTTTTATTGTCGAAAGCTATTACTTGCATCTTTCGTTGCCCCTTTTGGGCCATTGGTAGAGAAGGTAAAATACGCTCTGAGAGAGAAACCCATATGCTGACGGAAAAAGCGCTTCTAAATGGGTAGCGAAAGTACATCACGGGCTAGAAATACTATTGGCAGCTGAGGTAACCCTTCTCCCGGATTAACGGAATCAGTTGTTTGAACTTGATGTAAGACTTCGCAAGAACGAAAAACATAGCAGCAGGAAAAGGACATTGGCAACAAAACTTCACGATGAAAGAGATAACGGTGTTGTTGACAGCAGTGATCTTAGAAAGCTAAGTTGATTCAAGGGTGGGTACTAAATACTGTATACACGGTCCTACCACTTAACCTTCGGTTGATAAAGCTTGATAGTTTGCCGATTTGGCTATAAATGCATTGACAAATGTTCTTTTTACGCCACCTTTTATGTTGGAACCCATATTAAGTAGAAACATTGCTAAAATTGTCAGGCTAAAGTAACGCTTTCTAAATTGTGCATCCGATTTTTCCATGCCTGGCATTTTTTTCACTAAGTTGTAATTTCATCAACTCCACAAACATGCTCAGAATTGTCCCCCAAAGATATTGCATACTCTACGTGGGATTTTCAACAAGCCTTGCTTGTCAGTCTTTCGCGTGAGCGTCTCCTTTGATACTACTACGTTGTTACCTGTGAAGAGCAAGTCCATCAACAGGACTAGCGGCAATCTTCTCCTTCTTGTTCGGCCAACTCCGGATAATATTATGGCCTTGGTACGCGACTCGAAGCCTACCGTAAAGGAGCAGCAATAAGCGGTACGAACAGGTCCAACGTGTCTACTTTCTTGTATCTGCGTTAATACATGAGCTGCTGTATTATCATTATTACTATTATTATATTGATTCACTACTTACGTTCGTCAGTCGGCTTCGCTCCATTCTGTCCCCTTTACACTCTACTTTATACAATTTGCCTCCTATATGCGTATGTACGTATTTCGTTAGAACCGAGCCCGTAATGCTGCACTACTGGCTCAAGACACGGTCGTAATGTATGACGAGGGCCTTCTGTCATCGGCTGTCGTCGGCTGAACGACAGACGATACTGATGGCCGTTATGACGAGGGACGTCTAGAGCCCACTTTTTTGAGCCTTCCAGCACTCAGCTGAACCTTTTCCGAAGCAGGAGTCAACTAAGAAACGACTCAATCATAATATAATCATGCGAGTAGAGTAAGTTGGGGTGATGGCATTTTAGCGGAGCAAGTTATGGCTGGCTCAGGAAGACTGCTTTTGGTCCTTTACGAATGCTCTCGAAAGACATTGGATTTTCGAGTTGGGGATTGGATTTCGATGATGAAATGCAGAGAAAACGATATCATCGTTAAGGTGGAAAACAGGCACTGTAAATTATTTATACGAAAAAAAAAAAAAAAATTATCATGTACAGGAAATCACTGCAATATGCTAGAGAATGTAATGAATCGTGAATGTATTCCACTAAACTTTCTCGCAGGTAGCGCGAGTTTGATGTCCTGAACCGAACCCGTTACTATTATTAGTACTATTAACCATGTGTATTTTACCCAAGCAGTCGAAACAGTCTGTTTATAAAAAAAAAAAAAAAAAAAAAAAAAAAAAACAAATTAAATAGCCATACTCCAAAAATGTATTGCATTTCTAAAGGTATGCTTATTTGAGTACGTATTTATACGACGGATCAATTATCCTGTCTAGCAAGTCATAACGTAAAAGGATGCGTCCTCTAAACTGCTGCATGTCATTTCAAAAACTTCTAGGGAATGATATGTATAATCAAATTATGCACTGATATCGGAAAAGAGACCCTAAGCCTGATTTTAATAAAAAAAAATCGTGTGGAAATGACGTAGATACGACGATTCTACTTCCCTCTATAAAGGCTTATTTGAATTATCGGACCGATATGGCTGAGGCCAATATACCTAAAGCAAAAGCGGTTAATATCTGATAAAGATCCGATTATCTTAGCCCATAGATTTTTTTTTTTAATTAATTCTAAAGACGCGTATACCGTAGCAATGAATGAATACTATAATTTCTACAATTGAAAATTCTTACAATTGCGTCAATGCAAAGCAGAAACAAAAACAAGTAACTAGACATAACATAATTATCAGTATTTGTAGTAAATAACATTAACAATACAGGAAAGATGGCAAAATCACTGTGCGACAATAGCATAGGTTAAATGTATTTCAAGTCTATATATTTTGCCTGTAGCATAGAATTCGACCAACTCATGTCTCAATGTCGGATCAACGCTAGAACGAAATACCTCTTCATACGCCCCTCTCTGACCAGACGCTGATCTGAAGAACGAGTTCTGACCGAATCGTTCGCATCTATTGTGAATGACTTTATTCACGTATCGCAGGAGCACACACTGGTCATTTCCGCATTTATCTAGGTTATTAGGTGTATTAAATAGAAGCTGCATCCTCTAACAGATCATATATTAGAACCGTATGGATCTAACAAGGAAGCGGGTCGACAAACGCCCGCACGCTAGAGCCAGCTAGTCCACTAGATAGAAGAAGCCTTAAAGGCAAACCGAAATAGGACACAAGGCGAATAGGCGGGAACGGACATTTAGTAACACATTCATCATTGCATGTATTCCAAGTGGACTGATACAGTGCACAGATTGAAAAATATCGAAACTAAAACATAACAAAGTAGATCAAACTGATTTCCAGCTACGACGCTGTTAATCCTGCCGATGAAGAAGGTCTACTGCGGACGCTAAAAAATGACGACAGTGTCCTAGGGAGTAAGCATCAAATCGATCGAAGTCGCAGATAGAGACTCGCGGTAGTCGTAGCAGTCAAGCGAACGGATAGTTCGACACAGACACACATGCTGGCTATAAACATATAGCTGTTTCGACAGAGCTGTCAGCTCTCATGACCACGATTGTTTAGAAAAGAACATGTAGTCACTGCAATAATAGTGGCTGTGAGCTAGATTATATCTTAGTTCTAGCACAAGAGAAGGGTCTACGTTTCGACATGTCGAAATGCAGCGCTAAAAGCAAGCGGACTATAAACAGAAGACGAACAAGCCAGCTGAGAGATAAATGTTAGATAAAACTGTGTCATGCTAGGAGTGGCTGGAGCTCTGCTTTTCTCGATAATATCGATCACGTGCTCATGGATCGGAGGACTCTATCTGATCGTAGTTTATACCTTATTCGATATTTACGTACTATTATTTAGAAGTGCCATATTATGCCACAATCATTCTAACCAATATTTTGTCTTGTTTGATCTATCACAGGTGTCTTTAGCCGAGCAGCATATCCGACAGCTCTGTCAGGTATCTCGAGAGATCTTTCTTTCGCAACCAATGCTACTTGAGTTGAATTCGCCGGTCAACATTGTCGGCGACATCCACGGCCAGTACAATGATCTGCTTCGGCATTTCGATAAGTGCGGTTATCCACCAACGAGCAATTACCTGTTTTTAGGCGACTACGTTGATCGGTTGGTAGTCGTATGGGAATCTTTATTGTTACTGTTAATTGATTGAGCGGTATAATGATATCAATCCGGACAATTCCCACTACCCATAACTAGTGTTCACAAAACGATGTTCCTAAACGCTGTTGGATATGTGTTACGACAAAGCTACGTAAAATAATCTCCCTAATAATCTGTCGGTCTGCCTGGCTGTCTATGATCTCATCATGTCTTGCCTGTTAGTGTTGAGCTTTTCCTAGGAATTGTCTCAGATGTCATACAAGAACCTATATAATTTTAAAATAGGTAGTTTTTAGATAGACGACCTGCCCGATGTACACCAATGTATATATATATATATATATATATATATATATATAAACAAGCGAAAATCAATTAGAAGAACATTTTAGCGCCTTCAATTCAGCTTTATTGTTACATGATTGGTCACACTTGGCTAACTTCATACACAAAGAGGACATAAATAGATAGGACCTTTTTGAAAAGTGAAGAAATTCAAGGCCTCGTATAATAACTATTATAGTTAGTTTGCAGAACGACGCAATTGTTCACGTTAATCTAGAATTTTAGATAAGTCTGGTAATTAGGTTTGTACCCGGTTCATGTGCAACCATTTAAACTCTACCTATTGGCTATAAATAAATTTTCTAGTTTGCCAAACCATATACTTCAGGCCTTCCGGATGGTCTACTGAACTTCCGTTCAGGCAATTGGGGCTGGGAAGAAAACTTGTTTCGCTAATAAGTAGCGAATATTTTTCCCCAACTTCAAAGTAGGGCGGACTTCTGTATTTGGACCAATTTCTACAGCTCCTATCCGACCACTCTTTCAGGCCGCTTTGCTTGCGAGTAGCGTCGAAGAATCCCAGAACCAGCCTCCTGACTACTCCGTATCTGTCTTTGGATAATTCTCGATTCTTCAAGTACAGAAGCTGGCTTGTTAGCTTTTCGGCGCGAGGAAAATCGAGTGTTTCGCTTGTGCCTCGTAATCCTTTAAAAAAGTCTATATCTCACACTGCGTTCACAACTGGACATGAAGAGGCCGTTCCATATTAGTGGCCATAGAAGGCTTTTCTATGGTATTTTCGAATCGTTGACCACAACAGCATTTCGGGTGATTCCACTTTGGCGAACGCAAACCTGCAGAAGTGAGTGAGAAGCACATGCTTGTAAGTCTAGATGAAGCTCAAGTAATCCATTTAATTGATCGGGAACCTTCTAACAGTATAGAATTTAACACATATACATACACAAGAGCAGCCATATGTGCTTCCAGATTCACGCACTTGTCACCATCGGACGGTCACCTAGGCTAGATAGCTCGATGGAGAGGCATGAGGAAGAGTTGCCTCTAAACACCTATCTATTGGGTTGGTCGATAGAATTCGGTTATTAATTTGGCAGTTGTAATTTCGGTCTTATTTAACACATTTCATGTGCCTCCAGTCGTCATATAATAGGCAGACTGAGGATACAGCGTCATATTAGACCAAACATGTATGACTATATACATATAGATATATATATATATATATTTGACTATGCGAAATTGTAGACGTTCATGGCCTGATAATTTGATAAGTGACGGCGCTATTTAGTCCAAAGGACCTGTCGGGGTTGCAGGAAGGGGAAAGGAGAAGTGCCAAGGAACCCCCTGCAAGGATTAAAGAAATATATAAATATACAACTAAGAAATACGACTTCAACATTCGACCTTATATGTGCATTGGCTTTCTTTGACTGTCTTCAATTTTCAGAGGGAAGCAATCGATCGAAACAATTAGCCTCGTCCTCGCCTACAAAATTAAATACCCTAACAATCTATTCCTACTTCGCGGAAACCACGAATGCGCATCTATTAACAAGTAAGCTTATTGTTTATTTACGTATTCATTTGACGACATACACAATCAAACTTAGTATCGATTTTCTAATCCTTTCCCTCCTTATTAAGTACTAACATTATGTATGCAAGCATATTCATACAAGTTAAACAGTTACAGGGATTATCGTGTCGAAGTAGCAATGTACAGCCAACGTTTCCTATATATGCGTGTATCTATCTCTGTGCATCGTGCCATATTCTCGAACCTCAATGTTTTGACGATACTGGTTTTTTGTCACCTCTTTGATGACATATGTCAATCGCCTTTTGAGAAGGTGCAGGAAAAAATAATGAAAGGTAAGCGACTTACCTTTTGCGTGCATTGCGACACTGTCTGTGCGTTTATTCTATAAACTACCCGCAAAGCGTCAATACCATTGCGAGAGCAACGACTGACAAAGCAGGAAGGCCACTTCGTTGCCATAGAGCTCTTTATTTGTCTTCTGTTGCTTCTCTTGGCGAGAACGGGAACTCTTTCTCAGCTAGATGTTGCAGAAAAACACTTTTATCTTCCTATACCTGTCGCTATATGCTGTAAAATGGCACCATACAAATCAATGAAGTTATCATGCTGATTATGTTACTCATACTAGTCTTTTGGTCTTAGTTATCAGTGTGATTCCTGCTCTCTTCCCCGCGCGCTTGATCAGTTCGCATAATCGTCATACGATTTTACTTATATTACTTCTCATCTCTTCAATAGATATATCGATAGTATTCCTCAGCTGTCGTAACCAGCTCGCCAGAAACGCGTGCATTTAGGAGATGTCTTGTTGGATTCCAAAGCTTCGAAGCGGTGTGCTTGATGTTCTCGTTACTGTTGCGCGGTTTTGCTCTCGTTTGTCTCATTAGTCGGATGAAGACAAACATTAGATGGATAATACAGACAAGGATCCTGTGACTGGCGACTCGAAGATGCCAAACAACAGCGCTCATAGAGATATAACATGAGAAAGTGGTTGTAACCGGCAATACCTCAACGTAATGCCTGGTCTGCATCGATGTTTTGAATACACTTCTCTGTATTTCTTCAACTCGTACCTTTTTCCTATGATTGCACGACATCTGCTAAACTTTCGAATCGACTCTGCCGGCAGAGCCTCTGCGCTTTGTCAAACTTGGAAATTAGTCCATGTCCTTTTCCCGCGCGGGGAATTTAAATGCACCATAATATTTCAAAGCTATATCAGCGTGTTCGGTTCTGCGCACCGATCTGAAGCAAACCGAATAAGCCACTTTTGAGTGGCTGATCTTAGCCCTACGAATAGGTAGCATTAAAAGGGGAACCCCATTATCAAGTAATGGAACTTCCTTTTCATGCAGAGACAGCAAGAGATATAGAAAAAACACGCCCATGCAAATACTGATATGACCTACCCTGTGCTTAATAGGTTCGCGTGAGCCTGGCTATTTTCCAATGACTGCAACGTTGGAGATTACCCATCTTTGAGGCCTAGCCCAATCATTTACCTCTAATCCCCATAAGCTGTAAAATGGATCGTATACAATTGTTATTAATACCAATGATAAAAACAAGAATCGTGCCGCCGGCACCTTTTCTTTATAGGCCCAAAGGGACTGACTGGTTTCGAGGATAGCGAAAGAGACGTATAATGGCATCGACGCGAGCAACGGCGTACGTCTATTGGCCAGGGTACGGAAGGTTGCGCCTCTAACGGCGCCTCCAAAAATCCTTTCTGGATTGTTGATGCGAAAACTACCAACTACCGCCAAAAGATTTCTGCATCCGCTAGCTGCAGGCTTAGCGGTGACCTGCAACCCGTTCACCACCCGCATTAGTCTTCCTTTTCCAAGTATGTTCTACTCCTAAAGCAAGGCCGCTTCCCTTCATATAACAACTTTCAACAAGCACAAAACCGCTAGAAGCTACTTCGACCATCACCCCTATCACTGCTTAGAAAAGCTTTTCTCTAGCTGGAATAGAAGAAGAAAGAGCTTTCCTAGCTGAAGGGCGTGGAGTCTTGAAAGGCTGGAAAGGCGACCCATAGCGCGGGATGGCCGCATCAGTAAAATTGCAACGAAAACCTAGCGGCGTTCTGAGTCAGAGAGGGTTGAGAGGAAGATTAGTACACTGCACTTTGATGGGCTGCTAACCGAAGTCAGACGGCCGGATCAGGATCGAATTAACATGAGTTTGAAAACGAGGTAAGGGTAAACCAGGCTGGAATGGCGGAAACCAGGAACTCTGTACAGGTTTAGGTGTTTGTTGCTGTAGGATGTTCAGCAGCATAAAATAAAAGTGCCCTGCAGGCCCTTAAGGATTATGGGAGACTAAGCAAATTAAACGAATAAGAATGAAATATGCATACTAATGGAGGCGCCGTAGCAAGGCGTCGGATAAGCAGTCATTGTCACAAGTCTTCAGAGGCGTCCGTCTATACAGGCTTCCCATCTTTGACTATCCTAAAGGCACAAGGTAATATAAAGGTAGAAGGCAGATGAGACAATACTGAACCAAGGAGGAGCTATAATCAAACCTTCTATCCAATACTTTACTTTGAAAATGTGTTCATATGCAAACTAGTAACCAGAATGCCCTAACATACATGAACCTACCTTAAGACGCTAAGAAACGATGCTATAATGAAGTGACAAAAATTGAGTAAATATCACAGATGAAAAAAATCGCTATTACGTGAAAGTCTACTTTAAAAAAGTAACGTATACAAAAGTATAAAATATTATACTCCCAGCAGGGTCCCATGCTTGATTCTGCTGCATAGTGCGACCTTTAGACGCCTGGGTCTGCCACAGGCAGTCTCAGGGGTCGCGTAGGAAGAGAATTGAAGAGGTTATCATTTTTTGATTGGGCCGCGAGACTGGAAAAAGAGGTTGTTGCCTCATTATTACGCGACATCGGTAGGCCCTATGTACATAGTATTTGGCCAACTGACGCGTTGGCACTCAATCGGTTGTATGCCTTATACTAAACGTACGTGCTGTCTGACGAGCCCATGGCAAAGTGCTATGAAGCAAAGTAGAGAAACCATTGCATGTTGACCACAAACCGTTGCGCCGTCCGGCCGTACTTCATACGACGCCCTGACGTAAGCTCATCAGAACAGGGGCATATATTGATTTTCTGCTTTCGAAAAAGTGATTGTATAATCACCTACACGCATCAACAGAACAATTGATAGGTGCGGATTCATTCGATAGAGTTGTTCTTATGTGGCCCGTACACACCAACGAGACACTCTGCTGTACCTAATGGCACTTCTATCTATATAATATTAATCACCTGCATAGGCCTAACAGACAGGAATTTATCAAGCATTTATGCGCCTCACCTTGATCTATGGCGATCATCCCCTGTGTTATCAATTACCGCTATCATCTATGTGAAACACGAAACATCTAATATAATTAGCCCTATAAATACTTCGTAAGATACTATTTTCACTTGTAAATGTATGTATTTCACCTGGAACACGAGTTTTGGCCAACTGCATTTCTTATTCCTAGTGCAGGGGCTAGCGACATCAGAGCTCGTTTTTGGCGGCAAGCGAGATTCACAGTATCAACAAAAACTAGTTCTGCGAGATGGCGACAGGGTTCGACGCTTGATTACATTCTCCCTTGGAATTTATAAAGCTGGTATCGCTGGGACGAGTCCAAAAGCGCTCTTCAATTCCAAATCAGATTAGCTTCACTTCTCACTATAGAAGAGCTAGTTTCCTGCAGCTTCCACCACCGTTACCAACCCAGAATCGCCATTTGGTCGACAATCGAAAACTTGAAGCACTCGCCGATTTAACAAACGGGAAAAAACCATTAAACGTCGCAACCTTCATTAGTGTCATATACCTATATATATATATATATATATATATATAGGGCCTATGAAACATGTACACGCAACCTTTAATGGAGGTTAATAAGATTATACCTATGAGTTTTGCCTTTCAATAGACAGGTGGAGCTCAACATACTGCTAATAAGCAGAACTCCAATCATGCTGTCGTTATCCGCGACAACTGCAAGTTCTTTTCAAAGTCCAACATAACTACCTTCAATTCAAAAGTATACTACTGAACATAGTGTTTATATTTGTTCTGCATATGTAATTACTTTGACCTAGAATTAATGTGCTCGTGCACGGTAACTTATAAACATCTATTATAGTGATAACGGGGTTTGCCAGGAGGCGCACGTAAAATATATCATAGATATACACCTCGTTTCTATTGCAAAATCACACGTAGGTTTCGAAATATGTTTATAGAATCAATATGCCTGAAGGTAAATCAGTACATAAACGACCCTCGTCCGTACGACATTACCTATCTACTTTATACTAGTTTTAAAGTTCAGTTCAACTCGGATTCGTTCTGTTTGTGCGCGTTATAGATTCTGTCTGGGTTCCAGATTCCGACTGACCGGAAGGGTCAGTTGCTATAATAGATAACCTGTGATGTAGGTATTCTGATACCTCTGATTTTATTTCTGCAGCGCGAATCCCTACGTAAACTGATAAAAAGCGAACCCAATGATAACATAAACGCAACACAGTTGAATCGAAGTGTATCGTGATTTAGATCTGCTTGGGGGTATACTGAAAAAAAAATGTCTTGTTAAATCAAACGTACATTTTTTAGCTTTCAAGAGCTGATGAAGATGCGAATATATCCATAAAACATATCATATAAAATATATATATATAAAAAAGTGATTATAAATTTGTCTTTTTGCAACGATGTCAATTGTAGGTATAGGTAGATAGGGTCAACGTAAGGCCTATTTTCGACACGCTTTCATAATTTATATACGTTAATATTTTTGTCTCACTGTAATGCTTGGGACCCAGATACAAAATGAATTTTTTTTTTTTAAAAAAATTGCTTCGAAATAGAAAAATACGCTGTACTTTCAAGCTTTCAAAATAGCTAACCTTGTCCTTGGTAATCCTTCATCTTTGAATCGCTTTAACTTATAATAGAATTAAAACTTATCACATCAGCCAGTCTTGTGAGGGCCTCGAGAAAAAAAAGTCGCAAATATTTGCTGGTCTATTGCACTATGCTGAGTTGCACGTATAACTCATTGAAAGTTAAACAATGCTATACAGTACCATAGTAGGAAAGCAAGCAATCCGGTGTGAGATATGCTTGTTCTCTAGTACATTAAAGCCTTGACGAGAAAGAATCGTTGTGCTTACAACAGCTAATTTTTTGCTATTGACGGCTCGCATGAACTAAGAGAATACAGACGCACCCTTTAATGTGGACCATTTTATGAAAAGCTATAAACAAGAGAATGGCCGTGACACTATGTACATCAGGTAAATATACCTGCGGTTCATGACTGATTTTGTACTATCTACCGCCTAGATACCATGGAGTCGATGGAGTCTTTGAAGTAATATGTTTGCGCACATAAATGCTCACAAATACACACATGCTTATCTCACTATCGATTCTTAAATAGAACTTAATATATCAGAAGTTCGCCAATAAAGAAGGATAAACCATAATGAACACAAAGAAGCGTAATTGTTTGTTTCTAAATATGAGCTGCGAGAAAGGTTCTAACTATTTTCGAGTGGCAATCATACGTCTATTGAATGGCCACAGAAGAGTGTTTATGCACTGCTCCAAACACAACGAGGATGAACTGTGCTAAGTTCACTTCATCAAAAACGATCTCTGCACAAATACATGACCAGTGCGCACCCCCCCCCCCCCCAGATCGGCGATAGAAGCCATCTATGTTACTGACGCACTTCCCAACGACGCACATAAATTATGCTGACATACTGTTCAGCAAATGTGTACCAGGCCACCATTTCAATTTCTCAGGTTGGCTGGTCGTATGTCTGGTGGTCGTATCTGAAAAATTATTCCGAAATCTCGGCGAAAAAGAACCAGCCGAACTCCCCGCTCTTCCAGAGAGCCTCTGGCCTTTGTCTGCAAACGCTATGACTATCAAATCTGCTTACCATTGGATCTTATGGGCCAGAGATTATCTGAGGGAAACGGTGCCAAAGTTTTTCGTGGCTGGCACAATAAACCTGGATCCCCAGAAAGGCCGCTCGGTAGAAACAAACAAGGAGCGGCCTGTATCAACGCCTGATCACTCGACCCGGTCATGAGGAGTATCATTTATGAAAACATTTGTTTCTAGTCGATATATCTATGGATGACAGCTCTATTTAACTGTAGACCTCGATACAATTGCATACTTCACTTCGACGAATGTGAGCGTATTGATATGATCTATTTTGATTTTAAATTGTTTTTTTCTTCGATCTGTCAAATACAGTTAGCTTCAAGACATGTTGCCATAATATGGAGACTGGTAGACGTTTTCCTGCAAAAGAAAATGTTCCTTGTGAGGGCAAACCATTCATACTTGAGTAAGACAACGTCCTTTAACACTGTTAGGTTTATAGCATTCAGAGCGGTCCGTTTATAGCAGATTAATACAATGGAATTGCCTCTCCCAAACGACATAAGAAGTACAACCGCTTCAATAGTTTCAATTATTTTTTCCAGTTGAAAAAACATTTAAGCCATAACAATCCATGAGAAACGATCCCAAAGCATTCTTTTTGTTTGAGAACAATTTCAAAATTTCCTGAAGGCATTCTTGTACCAAAAACCTCGGATAAAATCTGAAGCAATGCTTAACGGCGATACTGGACGTAAGCTTTGTAACGCATGAGGGAAAATGCGCTTCTTGTTGAATGCCGAACCTATATTCGAGTATATCGACCTAGTCACCATGGCGGATACTAACGTATGGCATGCTGTACACGTACTGCAGTACGGACTCAATTTTGCACTATGAACTACACGTACAAAGGCGTGTGCATACAGACAGAACACGCGCGCAGTCGAAGGTAGCGAAAACACAAGTATGATAACTTTACGCCACGACGATTCGGATCAGGCTTTAGCAAATGCGTCCGTTCTGAGTCTATTTTTTCGTCGGCTCTTGTTCCAACTTTACGGTCGCAGATCTCAAGCCCCGAATGGAGAGACACGACAAGCGGTTAGCTAGTGGAGGGTACAAGCGAAGCTCAGCAGCAACAGTAACACGAGCATTACCCCGTAACACGAGGCCTACCTAGTTTTCTGCTTCCTAGACTGAATAACAATGACGCGTTTGAAACATGTTTATCTCTATTATTATCTAAATCCAGGCAACGGGCATGTACGGGACGACGGTGACGATGGCGGCATCACCGTACGCCACTGGAGTGAAACGATTGCGCTTGCGTCTAATTTTGATTTCTCAGTACGCTAAGTAAAATGTAGATACGCAGGAGCGTATTAGTGATGGCAACGGTAATAGTCGTCGGTGTCAGGTCTCGTGGACGCGAGCCCAGACTGTGAATGAGTTCTAAATCGATCTTAGACAACATGAATGTACAACAGTTTTTAGTTAACACCTTAAAACTTATGCTTCTCTTACTACCTATAAGATAAATGTTATATAGTAAACTACATTCTAGACGGTCATTTTACATAAGTGTTGTTTGCTCAATATTATAGTTGTTAAATAAAATTAAAAGACTCGATTGAGAATTTCCCAGACCGCTCAGTGGGGGGTGGCACACCTCCATTAAGAATGTCTTTATGCCTTGTTTCTGACACTGTAGCTAAATATAGACGTTCTATTACATTTGTTTGCATGCGCTAGAAGCGTCATTTCCTGACGAGCATGATTATTCAATATAATCGACATTTAAAACAATTAAAGCTTCAATTCGATACCTAAACCAGTAACTAGGCATTTTCAAAAAGTTCCTATTTTTTACATAACTCCCCCAAACTGGTATATGTAGATGCAAACTGGTCAAGGTGTCCACTCAATGCGCTACGTACAAAATTTCATAGTGGAACTAAATTTTTATCTAATAGCACGTCAAAAGTCCAAAAATGAAAAAATTTATATCAAGCAAAAAGTTTTAAAAAAAAATCCAAAAGATCTAAAAAATGTTAACCATTGAAGCTGAAATGGCCGTTAATTTCTCTGTCAAAGACCTAGGTATATCAAAAATGCTTTCTGCGCCATTTTGATGAATTTTTTTAGCACTGGTAATTTAAACTCTACTGAGAATCTTCAGATTTACTTCATAAAAGCTTTTCTTCTAGCGGGTTTTCTAGAAGACATGTGATAAATGTCCTGATAAGAGTCCTCATTGCCTCGTTGCTTAACTAAAAAGGCCTTATTTCCCGAACTCAACATGTAGATTCCGGGATGATATCGGATAAACCCACTGTCTGCCGGCATCTGACAGGTATATCTAAATCCGGTTGACATTCGTTCGATGGGTTGACTACCCTACCAAAATGTGCGTTTATCGCGTCAGTCTTTGCCTAAGTTTCAACGGCGTTATCTCTTTGAAATTAACTAGGCTCGTTTATCCAACAGCGTCGGAGATAGAGAGGCTACTACGCCGATTCTCGTCTTATGGCATTGAGGAATACGCTGGCTGACGTTCAGGGATCGAGTGGGCCTTTATACAGCATTAAATAGAGTGTGGACAATACCGCACTAAGTAATTGACCTTTTCTCTGTGTTTCTCGATGGGCCGTTAGATCGAAGCCTTAGGTGTCCACATCTATGGTCGTCCTTGTGAGGGAAACGAAAACAGGTCCAGGCAATGTAGCATGCAGTAACATGGCAAAGTAACAGAAAATGGGTAGTTACCTAATTGTTCATTGCGACCGCTTATTGTCCTTAATCTCGTGCTTGTTCGCGTCGTACCTGGCAGTGTGTCCTGGCATTGGCCGTAGAACGATGGCAAGTAGCGAGGACGGTGCTTCTGTGATACAGCGACAAAAGCTACTTGTTCGTGAGTCGCCGAGGTAAAACTCGCGCAGATAAACTCTCCCGACAGCATTTGTCTCGCTGCCAGAAATCTGGGCAGACCAAATAAAGTTGGCAAAGATTGCAACACTCACGACGACGACTTGTGCAGGTGCATGAACACTCTGTAATTATTGCGTTAAGTTAACCAGCATTTGTCAGCACAGCTGGCAGGAATATCAGTCAGTTAGCTGGAGTTTTTTTAGTTCAAGCGATGTGTTCAAAGATTACTTTGACGGCTGTGGTATATCGTTATTATGCATACATGAGTGTATGACTATTAGATCGGTGAACTTGTGATTTTGTTTAAGCAGGGCACTGCGCCCATTCTAAGAATAACTGTGTGCATACGTGCTATTCTAATCATGAACGATAACTATATATATATATATATATATATATATGCTAGTTCCAAGTCGGCACGGTAATCCCCCGTTGTGGCTATCATAAAGGCCGTCGTCTTTGAACGTGCTTTTGAATAATTTCTTTGTTTATTAGTATACGAACGAGTCAATACACCATCTAGCGCTTATGCCGTTCTAGTTACGAATAAATGTCCGCACCACAAACTGAACTCGATACCATGGAACAGGTCTTATAGAAAGCATATTGACCTATAAGAAAGGGTGAGACCCCCTACTACACAAGGAAAAATAGCAGAACTGTGCCTGAAACGCTGCTAGTTAATGGGTTTACTCACGGGGGTAACGCAGAACTCTGCTAGCCACCTTTATTTTGTTTTTCTTCTTTTATTGACTTATGCGCTTGATGAATGCCCCATTAAATCTTGCTGGGGTAAATTGGAGTACATATTTCACCATCTGTGTTTCACCGAATCTTCTTCCTTATGTATTTCATGCATTTGTTTCTTGCGATCATTATGCTAAAAAGGTGAGCACGACTAAAAACACGATAGTGACAATACTGAATGAACTTAACGATATGAAGCTGGCACAAGCATTCGTATGCTTGTTATGTTATAGATTATGATGAATAGGATTATTTTTTACATTAAAAAGTTAGGAAATACTAAAAAGGATCTAAGGATATTCTCATACGGTAGAGGTGCTCATGGACCGTTTCGCTAAGAACCCTAAACTCTCTAATTTCAGGGTCTATGGATTCTACGAGGAATGTAAGCGACGGTACAGCATTAAACTTTGGAAAGTATTCATCGATTGTTTCAACTGCCTTCCTGTCGGTAAGTAAAAACGCGAGGTAGTACGCGAGGTAAACTGCTTCGTTCGTTAAATGCAATCACAGTTTCTAAGAGCACTTTTATTCTAAAGTCGTACCACTTCTGAAGAATTTTACGAATTCGTTTATTTCGAATCCCGCCTAGACCAGATTAAACAAAGCGCGCGCTATATAGCGTTGGTAAAAATATTTTCTTCGACAAACTTCAAGGTACCTAATAGAGCAGACGACCCCCCCCCCCCCCTCACACTCAATGTGCATTAGGTACCATTTGGGCACACGGTGGTGCAAGGCGTAAACATGAAGGTTATCGTCTTGTCTCGTTAGAGCTCGACCATATAACTTGAAACGCACGCGTGTATTTTATACTGGAAGTCATGTATCTGATGTAATGCTAATGCAGTTCTGGACCTAACGCGCAAAACATTTATCCTAGATCATTACAGAAGCATGTTCGTATGGCAAACCCAATGCATGCCCCATACATTTCCTATAAAAGGTCGTTCTCTGCTTCCGAAGTTCATTTCGAAAGACTAACTTCATTTCGCAACACATCAAATGGGATGGCTTCAAGCATATTTTTCGCGATTGCACATTTTGATAATGGCGAGTCCGATTCTGAAGAACTCTCCCACCTTTGCTCGCATATCGCAGACCGTACTTCGGCTAACGGCTGTTGACTATGGTGTGGCCGTCTCCAAGAATGATATTTTCATTTCTTTTTTGTCTTCTATTCGACACAACCTCCTCTACTTCAGCGCCCTCCTTTGAATTGATCCACTTCATCCGTCCGTAACCGCGCAGCGTTCAATCCACCAGTAGTTCCAACTTTCCCCCGACGACCGATTCATCGATAAAGGTCCGTTGCGTCCGTTGTTCGGTCACGTCTTACGCGATCCTTTTCCCTTTACCAGCCGCCTTTCTGGGTGTCACTTCTTCCTAGAGCTCCTCTACATTATCCGCCGCCCTAAACCCAAGTGACGTGAATCAACCTGGCCGTCGCGCCCGAAGAAGCTAGAAGAGAAAGCCGCCATCATTGCTTTCTCGGTTTTTCGATATAATATTATACTATAGAATTCGACTACCACACATCTTCAGCATGAGGAGCGAGGACGGCATCAGTATGGACATGGCGCCTGTTACCAAACTAGAGCTTTTCATCGGTCGTTCCTGGATTCTCGCTGTCTATGGTCGCTATCCCTCGGCTTCCACGGCCACTGCCGGTACCGCTACGGCCTGACGGCCTTTGATTGGAAAAAACGCGAGGCGTGAGAAGGATCAAGTCGGATGCTCTTTACCAAAGAATGAGGTTGATACTTGGGTAAAATCCCAGCTAGATTCTGCTGACAGTAAAACGCGGGATTAAGTCTTTCTGTAGATGAGTGGCGGGGTAAGAGAAAGAAGTAAAGGAAAAGGGTATAGTTCATTCAGTGGGTGTCTTGCATTACTCCGTGGTCGAGTGTTCAGTAAGCGTCGGTTGGCTATCTTGGACGGGCTAGGACTAGTTGGGATACGGTACACCAGGCAGTCGTGAAATCGATTCGCGGCAGTGGAATGTACTGCAATTCTTTGTTAGGACTCACCGGAGTAAACACGATCACCACCCGGTGTTTCAGGGCCAATACGTTTACAGGAGGTCTTACTAGGTTTGCATGCCGCACTCACCTTTATATGGCGTCCTGGCGTATGCGATACCAGTTTCATTGTTGTTCGCCCATTTTTTAGAAAGCCTAAGCGACTTATTATAAGCATTGGCTAAGAGGTTTGCCCGCCCCCTCCATTGTACACTCCTTATACACCTTTGCTTGAAACATTGTAAAACCCTATATTGAAAAACTGTGACGTATGCTCGGCTGGCCTCATGAGTTTTCAGCAAATAAAGACGGCAAATTGAAAGCACTGCATTTTCTCTTAACTGATGGTTAGCGGCCAGGAAGAGAACAGTCGGTAAAACACATCGGTCCTTTCTTGAACTCCTTGGTTTGTATTGGCTTCAAAGCTTCGTTTCTATAGCATTACTGCTCGTGCTAAAGATGAGAATGAGGTAAACGAAAACGGGAAAGAGCTAGCGAAGTGGCAGAAATAACTGAAGCCAGTAGCAGCAGGAGCAATGCATCTGCACAAATCGGGATTATTCGCTGGTCCTCTTGCCGATGAGCGTAAGGAGCATAGGTGAAAAGAAATCGTTAAAAATTAACGGGGGTTAGGTACACGGTTAGCTACCATTAACATAGTCGAAGTTCACCATGAGGCAAGGCAATGATCTCGAATGGATTTGCCCCTTGACGAGGTGGCAAACATGCTAAGAGATATCGCATCCAGCTCATAGCTTACGCACAGCTGCACCTGTGCAGGGGGAGAAACCTTCCCAGAACCAAAGGTCTCCATACAATCGATGTAGTCGCTTTCACACATACTTTTGTATAACCATTGCAAACTGTTTGCCCACTTAGTCTGTTCCATGTGCACAAACATCTTGCGCTCTTCTAAACAGGAAAACTTGCCTTCGGGCCATAATTCCCCCACTACAATGTTGGAACTGACATGTAGGAAAGAGGGCATCGGACGTGGGTTCTATATGCCCCTCTGAGAAAATTGTTTACCTTTAGTAAACTGCACAAAGAGCCTCAATTAGCAGCAGTTCAAGGTAGGTAACAACGATATAAAGATAGCGACAAGCAGAGAAAGAGTTTGTGCCTTCATGGTTGTGTGTGTGAATGATCGACGGACGGGATGCGTTCGATGTGGACAACAGCAACGATGCCAGCGTCATGAAGCGATGGCGGACCTTGCTTAATATGGGAGGTAATTCCGCACGCACAATATGGCCGATGGTGAAAGACCAAGCTATGCTCATTCGTAAATGGCTTGACACAATGAACGGAGGCAATGAAGAAAAGGGGCATGTTAAGGAACAATTGACGTTTTACGAGGAATCACTTAGAATTACATCGAGATTACTAAAAGCTACATGTTTCAATAAGCTTAGCCAACTGCAGGGTATGTAACAATGTGCTTGCGTCCATCAGGTTAAAAGGCCTAAAAGCTGCATACAATGCATATGAAAGCGTATACAAGTTTTCTAAAATGTTGTTTCTCATGAACAACAGTACTTCTTACACGTGCATGTAATGGGGACGTGCATATATACGTCGTATATATGCACGTCCTCATATATATATATATATATATATAGGAAGATATATATATATATATATATGAGGAGGAAG